TATATATATAACCCTAAATCTTTCTAGGTTATCCTTGAGTTCTCATTGGAGCTTTTCCCTCTAATATTCTCTAGAATGTGGTGGATCCTTCTAGAGTCTCTTGTATTGTTCTTCTTCTCTCTAGTTTTCTCTAGAATATTCTTTCTTATGGCAAAAAGGATGTGACTCACTCTTTCTTGAGATGGAGGTGCGTGGCATTAGGTTTTAAACTTTGGTATTCATGTAGGAGTCGCACTAAAAATAGTTGTGTAATTAGAGATAAAGAGTTTTAAAGATAATGTTGTAAAAAGTAATAAAATTGGAGATAAAATTATAGTCCTTAAGATTGTTATTGATACTAATATTTTTAATATTATAGTGCTTATGCTCCTCAAGTATGTTTAGATATATGTTCTAAAGAAAAATTCTGGAATGACTTAAACGAATTAATATAAATGATACCTCTTGAAGAATGAATTTTTGTAAGAGGTGATTTAAATGAACATGTTGGTAAAGTGGTATAAGATTTTAAAAATATTCATGTTGATTATGATTTTGGAGTGATTAGTGAAGAAGGTAGAGCCATATTAGATTATTATTGCTAATACTTTATTTAAGAGAGGAACATATTATTACTTATAAGAATGAATCAATAAAACACATTGATTTTTTAAGAGATCACAAAGAATGTATTTTCAAGTGAAAATTTAAGTACTCAACATCGATTATTAGTTCTGAATTTTAATATGAAGAGTTGTAAGATAAATAATACTATGAATCATTGTCATAAAATTAGATGGAGCACCTAAAAAACAAATAAAATTATTTTAATTAGTAAACTTCAAGATTTTAAGATTTGGGTCGTTCCTTAAAAAACAAATTCTATGTGGGATAAAGTAACAAACACAATTAAATAAATGACAAAAAATATACTCGGAGAATGAAAATGAAAAGATTCTATAAAATAAAATTGTTGGTGGTGGAATAATAATATGCAAAAAAAGATAAACTATAAGAAATTATGTTATAAAAATTGATTTAAATATTAAAACATAGAGAACTAGGAAAAATATAAGGTGGTCAGTCGACAGTCTAAGAAAACAAATTGTGACACTAAAAATCATATTTTTAGTGATCTTTATACTATAATTGAAGAGGGTGAAAAATATATGTATAAACTAGCAAAATAATAAAAAAAAGAAATGTAAGGTGCATTAAAGATGAAAATATAAAAATATTTTGCTTAACGGAAGGTATTCAACATATGTTTGGTGAGCTATTTTAATAAATTTTTCAATAAAGTTTCTGAAAATACGATTGATCTTTGTGATCTTAATATCATTAATAATAATAATAATATGTTTTATTTTTACTGTTATATTAGTAAAAAAAAGTTGACGATGCTTTAAAGAAAACCAAGGGCAGAAAATAAGTAGGACCTGATGATATCCCAATTGAAGTGTGGAAATATTTAGGAGATTTGAGAGTTTATTGGCTTACTAAACTCTTTAATATTATTTAAAAAAATATTATCTTTAATATTATTTAAAAAAATAAAAGAAGCCTGAGGAGTGGGGGAAGTGTATTTTGCTCCCAATTTTTAAGAATAAAGAAGATGCATAAGTGTTTGCAAATTATAGAGAAATTAAGTTGATGTATCCTACTTTAAAATTATGGAAGAGAGTAATTGAACATATGTTAAGACGTGTTACAAAAGATTTATCATAATTAGTTTGGATTTATGCCGAGAAGGTCTACTAAAGAAGCTATACATTTATTGAGAGGTTTGATGGAGAAATACAAAGAAAATAAGGAGGATCTATATATGATTTTTATAGATTTAGAAAAAACTTATGATTAGGATCCAAAAGAAGTGCTTTGGAGAGTTGTATTGAAGAGAGGTGTTGCTATAACTTATATCAAGTCATTAAGGATATGTATATTAGAGTTGTTACTTGTGTTCGAAGAGAAGGAGGATTGACCGAGTATTTTCCTATTTCAGTTGGAATACATTAGAGATCGGCTTTAAGCCCATATATTTTCGCTTTAGTTATGGATGCTCTTACTGGACATTTACAGGAGGATGTGCCTTGGTGTATGTTTTTCACCGATGATATTCTTCTCGTGGATAAGACTATAAAAAGAGTTCAAAAAAAAAAACTTGCATTATGGAGGTCTACATTGGAGTTTAAAGGCCTTCATTTGAGTAGAATTAAAACTGAATACATAAAATGTAATTTTAATAGTAGTAGTAGTTCTAGTGGCAGAGTTGTAATTATAGGTGATCAAATCACTAAAAGGTATGAAAGTTTTAGATATTTCGGGTTTATTTTATCGAAGTAATGGAGATATTGATGGGCATGTTATTAGTATAATTCTTGTTGGTTGATGGAAGTGGAGGAATGCATCAGGCCTATTGTGTGATAGAAAAATACCGCTTAGATTTAAAGGAAATTTTTATAAAATGGTGGTGAGACCTGCAATGCTTTATAGCGCAAAATGTTTTCCTTTAAAAGAGGTGCATAAAATAAAGTCAAGTGCTGTTGAGTTGAAAATGCTTAGGTGGATGAGTGGCTTGACACTTGGAGGCAAAATGCGAATGAATATATCCATGATCGGATTGGTGTAGCTCTAGTGGCTGATAAGATTAGAGAGAGTTGTCTTAGATGGTTTGATCATATTATATGTCGATCATCTGATGATCCAGTTAATAGAGTATATGTTTTAGATTCGACCTTTGTTTAAGAAAGACAGATGTAAGATTAAAAAGAGTTGGGCATATTGTATAAAAATGATCTTAATTTATTAGAATTAAATGAAAATATGACACTCAGTAGGACACAATAGAGAAAAATAATTCATGTAGCCGCAACACTTAATGGGATAAAGGCTTATTGTTGTCGTATAAAAGCATACCAAGCATCATATTCTGGCATTTCTTAATAACTGCCATTGATGCACTCATATCATTTTATAGTTAATAGATTTGCTTTAAAAAACAATAAAGTTTTTCTTTTTGTTTGAGATTGGGTTTATCAATTTAATCACCATCAAGCCATTGTCAAGCAATTATTCTTTCAATTAATTTCAAATTTTGCTTTCAACTAACTGTTGAGTGAATTCCACAAAATCCTAACATAAAATACACAACAGTTGTGATAAATATTTTTAAAGTTTTATTTATTTATTTTTAAATTTAGATATGATTTGTGTCCTTTTTAGGGTTTCATGAAGAAGCACATACTATCACATGAAAATCCAATTCTTAAATTACCTTTACAAATTAAATTTTTAATAAATTTTTTTGTCTAGGCTAAGGTCTTAAATCTTAATGGTAGAAAAAATGGAGAGATGGCTTCTATGTTACTTGTCAATTTCCCCTCTCTCCCTCTCCTCTTTACCTTCTCTCTCTCTCTCTCTCTCTCTCTCTCTCTCCCGCATGCCCATTCTTTCTATGTCCTTCCAAGTACAAGTTTTAAAATAATTTTTTATAACTTGTTATGACATGAAAATCAAAGATTTACGAAAATAAAATTCTTAATATATATATTATATTTTGAAATATGAAATACTAAACTTTATTCTCTCCTTATAAGAATTTGGTCCTCAAATATGTATCCTCATACTTAAATAAGTTTGGATATTTAGTACATATCACTTATTCAATATTTTAAGTGTTTTCTTTTTCTCTTTAATTCTTTCAAAATATGTCTATAGAGGGATCTATCTTTTCAATAGCTTTTGAATTGTCTTAACTTAGGTCCGTCAGAACATCTAGGTTTTGATGTAGAATTATATGATATTCATCAAGTACGTACAACATTAGTGCCAAAACATGAAAAATAGTGAGCTGAAATATTCTTTCAATTTTTTTTAAGAATATATTGTTATAATCTTATTCAATATAAAATGAAGATGATGAATGCGGCATAAAAATTTCATTGATCACTCCTGTTGCAGAGTTAGTAATCCAAGGTGCTGTCTCTATCAAGTATTTGTCTTTAGAAGACACTTTTCATTTGCTGATAGTCACGATACAGCCAACCATATTAAACAGTAAATGTTTGGTTTAGTTTTGAGAAGGCCATTATTTAAACTTAAGCCCAATTGCATTTGAAGACCATTGCTTTAATTTAGGGGCATTTAAATACATTCCATATAATTCTTATGTATTTACATATCTAAGCTATAATTTTTTTTACATTTTTACTGCCTAAATCTTTTCCATTACATCAAAAATACCACTACTATAACTTTTAAAAGTAAAATACACCTTTTCATGAATAGGTTTGGTGGCATATATGTAAAAATTAAAATTTAGGTGTTAGATATGTAAATACATAGGGGAATTGAGTGGTTTGTATGTAAATTTCCCTTAATTTAATGTCTAGTTGAGTGATGCTTCTCTAAAACAATATGCATTCCAAAGAGGTCAATGAACGAAACAATCTGCGTTGAAAAGTCTCCTAGACTAGCTCACCATTGTTTTTCAAAGAAATAAAAGTACTAATACAGTTATTATTGTTATGAATTTTGTTTTGTTGCCTGATCATGCTGTTTCTCTGTCTTCTACTTGGGCTATATTTTCATGCATGTGTTGTATCTTATAACTTGACATAGGTTTAGCTAAATTTCTTGGGAAATTTACATAAATACTACACAATTCTCATGTATTTACATATCTAACACCCAAAGTTAGATATTTACATTTATAACACCTTGATATTATAAACATATTGATGAAAATATATATTTCACTTTTAAAAAGGCAGTGTTGGCAGTTTTTTTGATGTGATGTTAAAGAGTTGAGTGGTATGTGTGTAAATATGAATGTTTAGTGTTATATATGTTAATACATAAGAATTGCATGATATCATGTAAATACCTGAAATTTCTTTAAGGAACGGACCAAGCAATTTTAGTCGTCTTTTTTTTTGATTGCCCACATATTTATTATTTAATTATTGTTGTTGTTTTTTTCTTCTAAATTTGCCCTCCCTTGATAAATGTCTATGCTGCAGCTGGTCATACTTATTTATACACTACGCGCTCCTTGTTGCATATATAGCCCGATCTTCAGATATCTTGACAAATTCCTTTGGCATTCCTTTGTATGTGTCGTGATCTCCATTCTTCTCTATGGAATTGTATTTATGATAGTCCTTGTTGCCGAGTTATTTAATCAGGATATTGGCTCCGTGTAGTTTATGAAATGTGGAGCTCTATTAAAGCTTTTTCCATGTCTAGCATGCTTGATTTTTTTCATTATTCTTAATTTTTTAAAATCAAAACTGCTACATTGGTGTAATTTTTATTCTTAGGTGTCCATATTTTACCTGGATTTTTGATTGAGATTGGAAATAGAGGAGCCCCAATCAACTGGGATGCAATCTACATTGATTCCTATAAACTTGAATTATCACATAGTAATGAGTAGCTTAATACATATCTGCAAGGCGATTCATCTCAACAACACAGGGTGTGATGAAAGGACGTGAATTTATTTTGTACTTGGAGGAGGAAATTCATATATAAACAATATAAATAATAAGAATAAGCAGATAAAGATGAACTTTTATTTCAATCATTAAAATACTTTAACAGCATTATAACAAAATAATAGTATGCCATTTATGGAAACATATATAAGGGAAACAATTGCAGAAATAAAACTAAACAAACTTGCAGGAGAGCAAATTACCAGTTGATAAACTTAAGAATGTCACAACCTCCATCTACTATTTATAAATCTGCTCGATATGGGTCCACCGATTGAACTTTTTGAACCTGCTAAAAATAATATCAATAAGTTAGTTTAACAAATCAAACATAATAAATAACTATTATTTTTTAAAGTATAATCCACTAGATATTGGAGAAAACAGTTTGACCAGCAAAAGGGGATGATTTATTATATTGCGTCTATTTCAGTACAATCATTTTTAATCCAATCATAAGTTAAAAAAAAAGAAAAAAATTTCAATCCAATCAAACCTTGTGTATGACTCAACAATCATTTTACTATTCAATTTCATTTCAACACACACACACACACACACACACACACACACACACACACACACACACATATATATA